AAAGAAAGAAAGAAAGAAAGAAAGAAAGAAAGAAAGAAAGAAAGAAAGAAAGAAAGAAAGAAAGAAAGAAAGAAAGAAAGAAAGAAAGAAAGAAAGAAAATCGCCCATCTGATTGGCCTGTAGGCAAGCTTGTTGACATTTTCTTGATTGATGATTGGTGTGGAAGGACGCAGTCCACTGTGGAAAGTGCCGTTTCTGGGCAGGTGGTCCCAGGGTACAGCAGAAAGCAAACTGAACAAGCCAGGGTGAATAAACCCGCAAGCAGGCCTTCTCCATTCCCGCTGCATCTCTCCCTGCCTTCGGGTTCTTGTTCTGAGTTAGTTACTGCACTGTCTTCCCTTGATGACGGACTGTAATCTGAGAGAGGAAGAAGCAGCTTTCCTCCCTGGCTGGCTTTGGTTGGTGTTTTATCATAGTAATAGAGAGCAGACTAAGACAATGCCTAACATAGACCTCTGGCCCAAACACATGGCAGGCACACAGGATGCCTTTCACTTGTGCATGGAAAAAAAAAAAACAGAAACAATTGGCTTTTTAAAATGAGGCTCATGGGATTGGAAGGTGGCTCAGCAGTTAGCGCGTGGTAGCTAATATGGTCTGTAACCCGTTCCAAGAAGAATCTGATACCCTCTTTTGGCCTTCACAAGCACTGCATGCATGTGGTATACAGACACATGCAAGCACAGTCAGTACCCATGCACATGAAATAAAAACAATAAATCTCTTTAAAGGAAAAAAAATGAAGATCACTGTGTATTTTGTTCACAGCCTTTGCCTAATTTTGAATTTCACATTAAAATAAAATCTATTTGCAAGCCAGTAGAAGGCATTTTGTTTAGAGTTTCTTGTGACTAATGATGTCCATGAGTCTTTTCTCCCTTTGTCCCTTTAGGCTGTTAAGTCCCTTTGCTTCTAGCTCTGCATCTCTCATGCCCAATTCATCTTCCTACCTACTACCATTATCTTTTTTTTTTTTCAGGCCACCATCATTGCAGTTCTTACATAATCATAACCACCATTGCGGCTTAAAAATCGAACAATGAATAGTTCTCCACTACCCTTAGTATAAAGTCCATACCCATTACCATGTCATTTCCTGGACCCTTACGTGCTTGGAAAATGAGTCTGTGGGCTGAAGCATGCTAGGCCAGCCCACCACAGCTGAACTACATCAGTCCTAAGACACCTTGTAAGATCCTGGAGGTAACCACCACCTTTCACAAAACGGGTTGTTCTTGTGTGATTAGTGTATTATGTCTCTTGTCTTCTTATTGATTATTTTTAAAGCCTTTTTACTGGTCATATGATCCCCAGTTCACCACTATGCTCAAGTCCACAAGTTGAGGCACACCAGTTATCTGTCCTGGGAATCACTGTCCTCTCCATGCTCAGCTGCCCAATTTCATCTCTACCAACAGCCTCCATGTTTCATACTTTACATTCAAGTCATTCTGAAGGGCTTTTGTGTCCCCAAACACACACTCTATGCTATTTACTACACTGGAGCACAGCCAGGCTAAACCTAATTATTCCTTCGGAACAAAGCCTGCTTGTCCTCCTGGTGGTAAGTCCTAGGCATAATTCAGGTCTTTTTCCATCTTTCACTTGACATCTGCTGTACAAATATCTCTTACAGTACATACTGCATGATCGCCATCTCTATGTACTTACATGTGTTCTCTAGTTTGCCTGTACACTCTTTGAGAGCACAGTAGATTTTTCTCTGGATTCCTAGTATCAAGCAAGTAGCTTTCTCATTAAGTAGTGCCTACAGGGCCCAGGATATAGGTCATTGGTCAAGTTCTTAATGTTAAGTAAGTAAATCGTACCTACCACTAGCATAATTAAATAAAATGGAATGGAAGGATGAACAGGTGATAATTCTGGAAACTGCATATGCTATCATCAGCATTTACATGTCTTAAGTTCTATAGCTTGCTTTGACTCTTCCCAGCTCCCTGTTTTAGTTAGGTTCTTATATATCACAGGCAGGCCCGGAGCTTGCTTGGAGCTAAGGATGAGCTTCAATTTTTATTTTCTTAATTTAGTTAGTCCTTCGGCAACATGTATATAATCATGCTTAGAGACTCTGAATTTCTCCCTCTGCCTCCTAGAGTGCTGAGATCATGAACACTGACTGGTGTGTGCAGTGTTGGCATCAAACCCAGGGCCTGGTGCCTGTTCGGCAAGTACTCTACCAACCATGCTGCAGCTCCAGCCTGGGTGTTTTGACACCATCCCAGGAATTATTTTGTTTTTTATTTTGACACTTATTTACTTGTGTGTGTGTGTGTGTGTGTGTGTGTGTGTGTGTGTGTGTGTGTGTGTGTGCATGTAGGGAAGTTGGTTCTCTCTCAGACTCAGGTCCCTAGCCTTGAGGACAAGCACCTTTATCACTAAACCGACTTGGCTCATACCCCCAAGAATTCTTAACCAGAGATCTCTAGATATCTTATCATAGATGGGTATTCCACAGACTGCCCCCTCCCAACCATATGCAAAAGGTTTTGAGTTTTGATTTTGTGTGTGTGTGTGTTCACAGAAATCCATAGTATAGGTGTGTGAAGGGCCTGTGTCTGTGTTGCCAACTCTAGATAGCGCAGGCAGACTATCTGCAAGTGTGTTGCAGAAACTCATTATCTTTCCTCGACGAAAGCTGACAGACTCTGCTGTGGCTGGCATTACCAGCTCCTGGCCCAGAAGCTGTAGAATTACATCATCCAGGGCTCTTTTCTTCCTCCAC